ATTCATAATAGAAATGAATGATTAATTATTGAAGAATTAATTGATCATTTTGTTGTCATGGAGCCCAGTTTACATTTTATTTACAGATGTGTAACTTTAAAAAACAAACTGTGTGAAAGCAGAAAACATGTGAATGAACTTCAGTTATCTCTGAACATTAAACACATTTTCCCAGCAGAATAAAATGAACGAGTAACGAAAATGAACAAACGGACACATTTGTATAAGTCCAGAGAATAAGAGTCTGAATCAGCTGCTTAAACGACTGAACGTTTCCTCACTGATGACTCAGCATGTTTTAATGTTCACTGTAACGTTTCAGAGAGTCGGATTTAGTTAAGTTGATATGAGGGATGCTCTCTGTTTCATGACATTTATCTTAGAAAGAACATCAATTATATTAGTTATGATCAAGACTGTGAAAACACACATTTGTTTCCAATCTTTCACTAAAATAAATGAGCTCTTGAGTTTATTCTTCTTCATGAAAACATCATTTTGTAACTTTATTTTCTGCTGTTCACCACCAAAGTCTTCATGTTGTGATTTAGAATGATATAAAAAATGAAGCTAAACAAAGTTTGATGTTGATGAGTGAAGGGTTCAGCTTTATTATGAGCTGTAATTCTGAATATTTCGTTTGCTAACTTACCTCCAGGAGCAGTTTTCAGTTGAACTTCCTTTTTAATGGGAACTATCTTGTCTTTGTATTTGGGTTGGACTCCACATTTATAATCAGTGAATGGTGTGAGATCAGTAATATCACACGTTCCTCCGTCAGACTGAAGCTTTGTGATTCCTGTAACATAAAGTTCATGAACTCTTTGTGGTTTAAATCAGCAGGTCCAGCTAAAGAGACTTCAGGTGACTTTGACCTGCTGGCTTTAGTAACCACGACAACGACATGAGCAGCAGACTGAACAGAACAGGTTGGAGATCTGAGTATAAGATAATAATGCAGTGACATGTCGTTATTTTGCATCATATTTCATGTGTTTAGTGATGGGGGTTAAATTTCAAGCAGTTATATTTACTAAATTATTAGCTCAAAATATAAACACTTCTGTATATTTTAATGATCAAATAAGATAAGATAAGATAACCTTTATTAGTCCCACGTGTGGGAAATTTCAATATTTAAAAAATAATAAAGAAAAACAAAGCAAATTGAATCAAAGTGAATCTAAATGATTGGACTTACCTGTTTTATCACCGGGAGAACAACTGCAGTCATATAAAAAATTGTGAAGGACACCATTACAGTTCTTACTGGTTGTTTTCCAGCTCAGTTCAATGGAAGTATTAGTTGTTTCCTCCTTAAAGTTTATTGTAAGATCTGTTGAAACAAACAGTAACAGTGAAGCACCTGTTAGTTTGTGTCCCTTCAAACTATCTGAGGAGGAAAAGCTTCATCCGTCTGAGGTAAGTTCAATATCAACACACCACAGTCAGTGTTAAGGTGGACGGGTGGAGTTGTGTAAACTGTGGGGATGTTGTTGATGACGATCAGACCAGAACATCTGTAGTTTCTGAAGGGCTCCAGCTCAGACAGCGGTTTGTTCACCTCATCAGGTTTGTCTTTTTCTGAGGAGAAACGAGGACGACAATAATGTTTTGTACCAAAATGCATGCAGCAGTTATTCTTTGTTTTATATTCAAATACAGAATAAAAATAGATTCACAAAGAGCACAAAACACAGTCCTCTGATGGCAGAAGAGCTTTCAGATCAACTCTACTCATAATGAAGCAGATATTCCACTTACCTGAACAGGTGTAATCGACTGAGAGGTTTTCACACTCTGGTATCGTTGGTAACGTTGGATCAATGTTTGCAGGAAGTCCAGTGGAAGGACTTTGCTGTATTTCAGTTAAATTATATAAATCTGTGGAAATTTAAAAAAAGCAAAAGCATAAAACATTATTAATTTAGCTCTAAAAGAAAATGAATTTCAATTTAAGGTAAAAGTTTTTGTACGAACCAACAATGATGTTTGTGGTGATGCTAAGTGAAGGACAGTTTCCTGAAGTGAAGGTTGTTTCAAAATCAGAGCAGATGTCTCTGTGTTTGACACAGAAGCTTTTACTGTCACTGCTGCACTGATCAGCTGAAGCTACATTTGGTGCTGATATTGAAGAGCTGATGTTCCAGTTGCTCTGGTAACAAACACATCCATTTTTGTTGCTTTGCACTGTAATGTCTGTTTTACCTGAAACACAAATGATGCACAAATATATTTGATATTAAGTTTGTTAAACTACAAGAAGGTGAAACACAAAAAATATGAATTATTTGTACTCACTCATTTCTTTTGTTTCAGTTTTATCTCCATTGGAGGTACACTGGAGTGTTTTATTGCCATCACTGTGAATAAATGCAACTTGATGCTCATATTCAGTACAGGGCTTCAGGCGTTGGATGTCTTGTTGACCAGAGTGAGTAAAGTCGAACGTCTCTTCAATCACTCGTCGACCTCCTTCAATAATACTGATGTTGTATTCACCAGGGGGGGAGTTCATCACATTAATCTGCAGTCCAAACTCGATGGGTGTGACATTGTAGGAACCTGAGCACAAAATCCAATAAATTGTTACATTTTGTTCATTAACATCAATCAGCTGCTGAAATGTTTCATCTCAGTCAGTTTGTTCATGCAGATGTTGACCTCAGTCCAGCGTTGGCTAAAACTGAAACACTCGATAGAAAAAGAAACTTTCACTAAGTAAGAAACGCTCGACAGCATCACCGGTGTTTGAAATCAGACGACATATTATCTTTAAACTGACACTCACACTTTGGAGGCTCAGGAGTCGTCTCGGCGGCTGAAACGATGCATTTAAATGAGATCAGAAAAGAAGAAAAGAATTAGTTTGTGATTATGTAGCATGAATGTACAACAGCTCAGAGCACCTTACAGGTACTTGTAACTCAGCAGCGCCGTGTTCTTAGTTTATATTCACATCAATGTCATCACAGGCTTGTATGATAAAGAAACGTCCAACCTTCAGTGGTAGCTGTCTCTGTGGTGTCTGTAGGTGAGGCCTGAGAGTCAGAGGAGTTGCTGGGTGGAGTGGGTGGGGGTGAGGTCTCATTTGAGGTGCTTGCAGGAGGAGCTGTGGTTGCTGTGTGAGAGCAGGCTGGAGGTCAACTTCAGGCAGAAATACCTAACAGCTAGCAGACTGGTTGTACCTGACACGATGCTAAACTACAAATGTAGGATTTTATCACACAGCTGTGCCAAAAATCCATGAAACTATAAACTCTGAATACATTACCAGACGTGGCAG